AAGTTGCCAGTTAAGGGTCGGAGGGGGGGACGAATCTCAGTCTGGAGCGGGGAGGGGACTGTCCCCCAACGGCTCATTTACAGGCAGAATCAGAACCACAACCCCCCCCCCAAAAAAAAAAATCTTTGGGGAAAACTTTCACTTAGTGGCTAAAGGCAGCTCTTTCCACATGGATCCAGATGCTTTTGATCTTCGGGAACAAATAAAAAGCAGACCTTCTCCCCTTGCTGCCACTTCGGCCCTTCTCTCCCACCCTTGGACCCCCCCTTCATTTCCTACCGATCTGGGGGGGGGGCACGGCAGACACAGGCCAATGCACACCCTCCCACCAAATAGAAGGTGGAAACCAACCAAGGAGGGCAGCAGAACTCTGCAAAAAGCAGCCTAACAGGAAATCACCTTTGCTCCCTATCCCTCAACTATGCTTTTGTTTTCACCCTCTCCTTTAACTCAACCAAGAGAGATGAAAATGGAAAGGAAACTTGCCTTAGCCACCTCTCCCAGGGCATTCCTGCGCCCCCACTTGGCTAGAAGGAACAGTTACAAAGAATTGTGAATGAGGGTCAGCCCTATCTTGGTCCCGGTGTTTAATAATGGCTTAAGGTGGTTTCCTGTATGGCTGTGGTACAAAAACTGTAAGTTGTACTCAGCCCTCTGCTTTTTCCAGTGGCATTTTTATAACTACAATGAGAGCAATTATGCAATCATCCTCCTGATTGCTTTAGATCAGGGGTGTCAAACTTGATTTCATTGAGGGCCACATCAGGTTTGTGTTTGACCCCTGGGCCAGGGGGGCGTGGCCAGTGTGTATGTGTGTGTGGCCAGCTCTATGTCGCTCGTGTTGGGGCCCCCTGTGGTGGCCTGAGTGCTCTGCCAGTGAAAATGGGCTCCCGAGCCCGGTTTTCAGCTGCGAGGGCCTCCCGCAAACCTCTGCCAGTTCAAATGGAACTCAGGAGAGCTACACTTGGATTTCACAAGCTCCGTTTTGGGCTGCAATGGCCTCCTGCAAACCTTTGCCAGTGAAAACGGAGCTCGGGAGGGCTGTGTGTAGCCCTCCCGAGCTCTGTTTTCACGAGCAGAGGCATTGCAAGCCAGTTCTTCACTGTTCCCAGGGCGGCCCTGCTGGCCAGATCTGGCCCCCGGGCCTTGAGATTGACACCCCTGCTTTAGATTATTTTATGGCCTACTCTTGTTGCTGTACAGTTACCGCAGTTCATGGTTAAAGATGTGCAGGCTGATGCTGCATTTGTACCCATGCACACCCCAAAGCACCAGTTTGAATCCAAAGGGCTGCACAGTCCTAAAAGGTTAATCTTCAAGTTGAACTTGACTTCTGATGGACATGTCCAGGTTGTTTTCTTGGCAACAGTAAAGTGGGTTCCCATTTGGAGTGTTTTTCAGATTTCAGAGTTTATAGTTTTCTGGTGCCTCCTATCTAAATACAAATCAGGTCAGACACTGGGTTTTTCAAGATCAGACAAGGTTAGCTAATTGCTACCAGGTTGGGAGGGGAGGGGGCTTTAACATGGGGATGTCATTTAAACTACTCATAAAGCAGTAGTCAGAAGAGCATTGAGGGAAATTGGGAAGGGGGGGACAGGACAGGATATCTATGTCAGGAATATAGTCTCATTTTCCTTGGAGTTTGTGTGAAATAAGCTTCGGGTGATATTCCTGCTTTCTAGTAAATTTAGGCAGTCTGTGGCTATTCATTATAGGCAGTTATTGGCCAAACATTGTGAGATGCTCATGTTTTATAACAAGCAATAGCTAGGTACTATCTGCTAAGAAGAATGAGTCCTTTCCTTTACTCACCCACTCTATCTTTTAAAAAGAGCTGCCCACTATGCTATCCCAACTGCATCAACTATCTTTCAGTCTCTGCCACTTCCCCACCCCTGTAGTCAGATGCCTAATTCTGGGTCCAAAAGGTAGATATTAATTAAGCTTCTGCTCCCCCCTTCCCAGTCCCCAGTTAAGTGTCTCCTTTATAGCTATTTCTTTATTAAATTTCAACAAGCATAAAAAAGCCCAACTGGTAAAAATGGGTGAAGAGGCACTTATAAATAGGGAAAGAGAGACACATGAACAGCCAACCATTTACCTTATCTAACATATCCATTACAAGGATACAGTGCTTGTATAAATGGAGGCATAGAATCAAAATCACGTGAAGTGTTAGTACCGTTCTATAAAGCGTAAGGTAAGGCCGCACCTGGAATACGATATCCAGTTTTGCTCACCGCATTACAAAAAAGACGCTGAGATTCAAATTGCATTAGGCGTTTAATGAGCAACTTGCAAAAGGAACAAGGACAGGCTTGCAAGTTCATTGGGCATTTGCTTATGGATGTCATTGTAAAAAAACAATGGCAAAACAGATGGGCTTATTCATGGTTTCGTAATATTGGGGAAAAAATATCTGTGATAAGGTTTCTTAAATGATCACTTCGCAGGTTGATTCATTTAGTATGCAGCTTGAAATCATGAGCTACCAATGAAGATGTGTGTGCTGTTTTTTTTTTTTTAACGCAGCTTGAGATTCCAGGATGGCTTTGATTTTTGTTTATTTTTATGTCAGTTATTACTGACAAGAGCCCATCTTGTTCACATTATAAACATTGTGGGATAATTTTCATAGATTTCTAATAGGAGTTAAAAATGGGATAGCCCTTTGGGTGTAGAAGTGGACATTATGAGACATACACTTACAGGACCAATGAAACCAAACAATATATAATATAAAACAATACTAGCATATACTATGACACAATAAAACAGACCAGCATTGATAACTGCTTGATAAATCCTTGGGGGTGAGTGGGCAGGAGTTCTGTGCAGCTTTCTAAAATTTGCAGAGCTCTCCAAGGACCCCAGAGCAGGTTGGCTTTCAGTTAAACCATAGATACAAATGAAATTACGGACATTTCATATATAAATATTCATGATACTCTGGTAGGGAAATTTAAAATGGCATCATGTGTAATTTGTTACAGGTGCAACCTTTGTGTAATGTAACTTAAGACAGTCACAAAAAAATCTCCAAGGCCAAAAAGAAGGTCAAGTTGGAAATGATATGCAGCTGTTGTCAGCCTCCTTTTTCAATGGTACTTTTTTTTAAAAAGGTACACCAAAGACCTGCAGAGTGTTTTCCTAGTTACTGTTTTCTGTACTGTGTATTGTATTGCAATAGTTGGAACAAATAATCTATATTTGAATCTAATGGAAGATGTAATAAATGAAGCCTTTTATATGAGGGGCCAAGAACAATATTTATCTGGAAGATTTTTCATTTCTATTAACCTTTTCCAATAAAAAAAAATATTTGGACCTGTGTCTCTGTATGCAGTGGAATAAAAATTCAGAATGAAATAAACTGGCTAACAAAACCACAAGGGGGTTAACAATGTGAATTAACTGCATTTGATAAAATATTCTATTTCAATTTTAATTTCCTTGGAACTACTTCTGCAAAAGAAATAAGCTGAAAGTTTCCTTGAACATTGCCAAGGGTCAGTAATTGATCAAATAGTTTTTCATAGTGGTACAGTAAGGTGGATTGCAACATCTTTATGTTACTTATTGTCATTGTATGCTCAATTGCTTAGGAAGAAAATGCATTGAGTTCAGAAACAAGGTTGTTTTCTGAATAGGTTTAAGTTACAGAAAGTTTAAAGTTCCTGAGCATTCGGACAATGGCACCAGTTACCTAGAGGAGCAACGGCCTGGGGCTTTTGACCAGAAGCCATTTGATCAGGACTGCCTCATTCTGAATCTTATGTGTTATGTGTTAAATAGTCTTACTTTAAATGATTTGTACGATTCCCGTTTAACCTATAAAGTTCACAGGTTACTCTAAGTTACAATTGGTCAACTTCATATACCATTCCACTACATAATGCTTTATTTATAAGCCACAATGGCTGAATTCACATAATATAGTGAATAACCAAATTCTGACTTGCAAGGGGAGACCCTGTAATGGCCAATAGGAATAAACTTGAGGAACCCTGACTTAAAAGTCCTTTAACTGGATCTTCTACAAAACCCCATCAGCTATTGCGGAGATAAAATAATATCAATGCATGATGGAAGTCTTTTTTTTTGCCAAGTCTTTTCCATTGTTATCAGAATGAGGGGAAGAATGTAGTAGGCTTTCTCAGTTTTATATGCTGTATTTGGGGGAAAACCCAAGACTGCATGGATTGTTGAATCATTGCTTTCATAACGAAGTCACAAAGTTCAGGACATGTCACAGGGTTTACATATGAATTTATTAATGTGGGGACGGCTACAATTACAGTCACTCCATTATACTATAGAATGCAATGTGAGCAATTGTAGGGATCACATGTCTGCAGGTTATAAGAATCACCTACCGTTTACAACTATGTTTCCAAACTCTGCCCATTGCCTACCTTTCATCCTATACCTCACCTTATCAAACTTCCTCTCCAATCAACCTTTGCCTAGCTGGATACGTACTGGCTTAGTTCCTCATCTCAAAGTCCATGTTTCAGCTGGAAATTGTTTAGCAAGATTAATTCAGTTCTTACATTGTTCATATTTATTATTCAACCCACAGGGGCATCTGCCTTTATCTAGACTTCAAAGGTGTTTGTGATTGAATTTAAAAACCCTGGACAATATCTGACTTGTCAGTAGGATGGTAGAGAAATAGGAAATAACATGGAAAAGATGAAAGGAGAAGGGTGCAGATTTGGGGGAAGGCAGCTGTTTTGCATATACCAGTCTCCAGATTCATCTTCAGATACCAGGTAGTCCTCAACGTAGGACACAATTGAGCTCAAAATTTCTGTTGCTGAGTGAGAAATTTGTTAAGACAGCTGGACACAGAAATGGAGGGCAACTGCAAGGGAAGGGATCCTTGCTTGAAAGTAAAACATGAGTTCTAATAGAAATTTCAAAGGGTTAAGAGCCATAAGACTGTAAATGGGTTTTCAAAACAAAGCTTGAGATTTATGGGAATGTGCAACACCATAAAGTAGGTTAGTAGCAAAGGGGAACACACAAACATCATGGTGATTGTTTTGTCACTAGCACCTAACTCAAACTATATAGTTTCCAAAAATAAGCCAATTTGTTTTTCTACCTGGGAGGAAAACCACAAATAACAAAATCACCTGCTGTGTTTTCACACTCTGTCTAATGCAGTATTAGTCCTGGTAGAGTGATAAAAATGAGCAGCTTTAATTAAGGACTCTGATCTTTCTTAATAACACAGTCCATTGTTTCATTACTTGAGCTGGATGAGGATAGCTTAAGACAAGGCTCATCCTTCTATATATCTCATCTTTAATATTTACTCTAGTTTATAATTAACTCAACTGAGTATCTCTAATCTTTTTTTAAAAGTACACATCTTTGCATCTAAATTGTTGTTAAATGGTTGTTTGTTTGTTGTTAAATAGTTCTGTTTGCCAGCCTCTAAGGTATACTTAACTCATTGGTTTACTCTAACCCACAGTATGTACTTTCTATTAGTCTTGCAAAGTCAACATGACTTAAGGACTACGCCAGTGTGTGCTTCAACACCTCACATTTTCTACACAAGCTTTATCTTGCCTTTAATTATCAGCACCTAATACAATTTTGTTAATAACAAAATTGTTAATTCAACTTGAGCTTCATGTCCTATATCAGCAAAAGCCATTTTTGTAAGTAGCCAAAATGAATCAAATATGGAACTCAAAGTATATGAGATGGGTGCCTAGATTTAATTCATAAATATATTTATAAATTTGAATTTTATACTTGCTTTATGTACTTTTTTTCATTTGATTGTTGTGCAGCAGCCAGATTTGATTCTGGAGACATAGGAGGCTATATAAACTTCAAAAAGCTAGGGAACCAGTCCAATTTTATGTGTTGAATTTTAGGAAAAATTCAAGAGCATAGGATTTCAGTAATATAATTCTTGGAATCTCTTAGATCCTTTTACCTATGCTCACACTGAATGGTCAAAATACTGTTGCAAATGTATGTCTGGGTTTGTTTTTTGTTTTGCATTTTTAAAGTGTTGGATTGTTCATGTGTGAACTAATGGTAAAGGATTGGCATAAACAACTGTTGGACTATATTATGATTATTATGCCAGGTATTCAAAAGTAACTGAAAAGTATATAAGCAAAAGTTAGGGGAAGTAGGGAATAGACTTTACGCTTCCTTTAGTTACAGTAAGGAAAATGCAGAGCAACCTGCAACGGTAGGTGTTTTTAATAGATTAAAAATATTCAAAAATTAAATTACTGTTCAATCAATAGTACTGTGATCATAGACTTTAGAGATGACAATAAGGGAAATGCAACTTGTATTGCTCTTTCTTCTGTAGATGTTAGAAACTAAAAATATATTCTATACAAAAATAGAGTTAAACGTTAAAGAAATTCCTTGATGAAGATACATTAAAATTGTGTCAGTTCAGTCTAGCTTAGTATAAAATAGCAAAGTCACCAGCACATTTCAGTGTAGTGTTTATTGTATGTAATGGAAGATACACTTGAATTTCAAAAATTTAAAACATATAAAAAGTGGTTAAGGGCTAACATTTTATCAACATTTGATAAATGCATAAGAATGTTTATTATACAGGAGGTTACAATGTAGTGTTAATGCCAATGGGGCACCATGGACATTAGTCTTAAAAAATTTCACTATGTAGGCTTTGTACAAACAAAATCACTTTTTCTCATTTCAGATTGTATGGAGAAGATTGTTTAAGGATAAGCAATCCTATAACTTCTTTTTAAAATATTAGATAGCATCTGTCATTAATCTGAGTGAGTGTTTCAAAAAATAAAGTAAAAATGTTGTAGTTCACAGAAATGCACATCCAGATCTTATTTCTGATAAGAACAATAGGTACAGGTTGTAAATTCTCCCTATATGAAATAATTTACACACAGATGAAAACTAGGAACACTAAAATAATCACTAAATAGAGTTCTTCATGGAGATAAACAAGCCATTATGATTTCTGCATGATCAAATATGAAAAAACCCATAACTTCAGCATTTCTCTTTTGAACAGAATTGAGACTCAAAAAAGAAGAAAAAAAAAGAGGAATAATTTCAGCAAATGTGCAACCTAAAATCAGCCAAGCTTATATTGTAATACAACCATATTAAGAAACCACTGGTCAGAAATACAACTGCATTGGGAAAAAGTTTAGAATCCACAAAACTCTGCCAGGCCATAAAGTAAAAACAGCTCCACAGTTTACAAGTAAAACTGAGGCAACAGATAGACGTGCTTAATTGATCTCCAGATAAGTAGATATTCAGGCAGAGGATGTGACACTTTGCTTGTACACAGCATGGTATGCATTCCGTAGCAAGACGTATGGAAAGCAGGACTCCAGAAGATCCATAGTCAGGAAGGGAGACTCCTGCACAATCTAAGATAAAAGAAGAAATCAGTCAGAATATCTGGACAAAGAGTAGAATTCAGGATGCTGGAAAAAATTATCTTCCTATAGTTATGGACATCCCTACAGGTCTGCACACACCAACACACACACACACAGTTCAACTAAGGCGTCAATAGAAATTGCATTTTTGGAACAATCTCTTGACAATTCAAACTAGCTAGCTCCCAGTCTGTAAAGGCTGTAAACCAAATAGTTAATTAGCCTGCTCCTTCTGAATGCATTACAAATTGCTCTCATTCATTGGGCTGAATGCCGAAAATATTCATGATGATTCTGCGCACTTCTGTGAGATGAACCAAACAAGTTAGAGGCAGAAATCACGTCACATTGCTAGCAGACTTTGACCAATAGGAAAGAATCACAATGGCTAAACCTACTACTTTTCTTCTTATATTTTCCGAGTGACCACGACATCACAATAATAAAGTTACTTTCAGAAATGCACTTGATAATGGTCTATGTACTGCTGAGAAAATTTAAATGAGAAACTGCTGGAGTAAGAGACAACACAGAAGAGAAAGCAAAGACAGTATATAACCGTGTTGGCGAACCTATGGCACATGTACTGGAAGTGGCATGCAGAGCAATTTAACCTGGGATGCCTAGCCTCGCTGGCTCCTCTTCCACATTCCTGTGCACACATGCACACTGGCCAGCTGGTGTTCAGCCGCATAGGAGTGGCAAAACCTGGAAGAGCAATGTTCCTGCGCGCATGCGTATACCAGCACCCGAACGTCCAGGTTTCCGTCATGCACATGCGCGATGGCCAGCTGTTTGTAGGGCCCGCACCTGCGCCGGAAACCAGAAGTTTGGGTGCTGGAATGCTGCTCTTCCAGGATTTGATGCTCTCGCATGCACCAAGATTTGATGCGCAGATGCGTGCTGGAATGCTGTTCTTCCGGGATTTGATGCTCCCGCGTGCACAAAGACTAGCAAGCCTGCACGCTCCAGATTTGATCGTTCTGTGTGCCATTTCCAGTAGACAGTGACATAAAAGGTTAGCCATCACTAGTATATAATATTGTGGGCTCCAGCTGTACTGAACTAACATAACATTCACAAAATCTGCAGCCAGTATATGCCCAATTTGAGACAAAAGTAGGAGGAAGAGGGCTGGAGTAGAAATTGTTTTAATAAGTTGAACTTGTTGAGCAATTATTTTTCTGTGCTCCACAACAATGTCTCTCTGCTTACTTGCAAAACAGCTTAAAGGAACAATAGTTAGGATTAAGGCCTACCATGTCAAGAAGTAAATAAACAGATTCTCTGTTCCTTGTAGTGGTTTTGTCTGTCTCCTGGCCAATTTTTAGTAGACTGGAGGAGGCAAGCTGTAAGAATGCACAGATTAGAATTAGAATTCTTTATTGGTCAAGTGTGACTGGACACACACAAGGAATTTGTGCATACGCTCTCAGTGTACATATAAGCAACAAGTGATAAATCATGATCATATAATAAGTGATAAATTATAATCACATGTAACTTGATTAAACTTAAAACAAAATGAATTACAGTATTTTTAAGGCACACTATTTCATTCAGCAATGTCTGATACAAATACTATGTAAGGCTAATTATAATTTGCAATGCTAAAGAATGTAGCAAACATGGGGAATATATAGTAATGAGTAATAAAGAAATGAATGGGACTAATTGAAACACTAATTGCATTGTTTCATTTGAGTGCTCGGATCCCCGGAATAGATTAATTCAAATGAAATATAGTAAGCGAAGCAAAACATGAACATTCACTATAGCAAGTATTATTATGTGCAACATCCCCCCTCCAATATTATCAGGGTTGATAACAAACATTGTAAATTAATCCCTGTATAGCTGCAAACTTTGCAAAATACAGATTAATTTCTGGAGCAGGTTATTTTGGAAAAAAATAATAATAATTGTACATACAGCCAAAAATTCTTTGAGACGATCTTCAATGCTTCCCTTGTGAATGGTAAATAAGGCTGCAGCAATCTGATTGATTGCTTTTGCCAGGCAATGGATATTGTTACAGTGACCTAGACAAGAAGACATTTGTATTATTTCATTCATTTTTTTTCATACATACACACACACATTTCAATACTCTTCCAGATAATGCTCATTACTGTTTTTCACCTTAGAAATTCTTCCTCTGCTGCAGCGGTCCCCAGCCCCCCCCCCCCCCCCCCCGGTCCATGGACCAGCATGCCAGAAACTGGGCTGCGCAAACAAATGAAACCCCACCCACAGGATGCAGATAGCACACGAAACCACACCCCCTCCAATCTGTGGAAAAATCTTGCTCCAGAGAAATGGTCCCTGGAGCCCAGAGGTTGGGGGACGCAGCACTACAGCTTAATATTTTCTAATCACTAATCTCTAAAAACCAAGTAGATTGAAGTAAGAGATTTACTTTGTGAAAAGTACCATTGTGAGGTTAAAATGACTTGTTATTCCACACCAAAATGTGACCACCAAGACCATAAATTGAAATCAATCGTTTCAACTGAATAGTTTAACGGATTCTCTCCATGAATTCCCACAAATATTACCTTCAATGGCAGGACTGTATTGAGACATCACATTACTAGCCAAAGTTGGTAAGGAGACTGCCACAAAGACCATCAGAAGGCAAGCAATTTTATATTCCTCCTCTGGACTAATATTTTCTGAAAATGAATTCAAATTAAAACAATAATTTATTGGGGGGGGGGAGGAGGTTCCAGAAAGAAACACACCCTAATTTAATCACCAAAAAGAAAGTTAAAGAAAAAAAAAACCAAAGAAAAAAGAATTGCCGTGACATTAATAATTTTAAAAAAGGATGCTAGAGCGGAGACCAGCGAAGTATATACCATATATAGTTCGTTAAAAGAAGAGATGAAGTTATTGAGAATTTGAAACTTAGGATAAGTTACATGTAAAATGTTTTTAAGGACCCATAATCATTTCAAATTGGTTCAAATGAAACCACATGACATTTTGTATCCTAAATACATGCCAAGATAAGTAAACTTAAATCAACTTGGAAACAACAGCCAACGACTTTAATAGCCAGCCATCAACACCCCAATCAAAAACTAAAAAGTCACACACAACCAGGCGCCATATAAATTACCACACACAGAATAGTCCAAAGCACACACTCTGCTAGGGAGAAGTTCCCTGAGGATGGGCTCCAGTACGAGTCCGAAAGCTCAGAAGACTAAATCTCTGGTCCCGGTAACTGAACCAGATTGGATCCTGCAACATTATCCTGGGGCACATATACTTGCCTTCATTTGTGAAACTTAAATCAAGACCAAGCATTTAGTCACCTCCTCCAGCTACATGCATTCAGGTGGGAATATCTTTATGTCAGTTTTTCATTACTTCAATTTTTTTACACGAATAAAGCATACAAATAATAGCAATAATCTTGAAATATTTTATCCTGTAAATAGAATGTTGATTGAAAAGGAAAAAAAAACAAAACCTTTGTGTGCTCTAAAACAAAGGGAGATAAAATCAACAACAGTTGATTTCACAACAGTAAATGGCTGAATGCAGAAATGTCCCACAACACTCACTATCCATGTGATTTATAATCTTGCCTGATTTTTGAGAAGAAAGAGCTACAACCAGGGCAGGATCTATTTCACATGGGAGTCCTGCAGCTGATGAGAGCTCATATACATTCATTGCAACCTGAAAAACAAAACACCACTGTAGAATGAAATATGTCACTAGACCATATGAAATTTCATTAGATTAAAAACATAACTATGAAAAAGTGGAAAAACTAAAATGATTTTAAAACTGCTCTCGGGATGCACTAACTGAGAATCTAAGTAACTTCAGGCACTTGTGTTGTTAATGCTTCTTGTCTCACATAGAAGAATTTGATTCTACATGTTTCCTGTCAATCAAATCTGATTTTATTTCAAAGCAAAAGGCTATCATTTTATGTTATGTGTTATGTTATGTTGATTTTATTTATATGCTGCCCTTTTCCCCCGAAGGGGACTCAGGGCGGCTCACAGCTCAACCAGGGAAGGGGGATACAAACAA